CCTGTGGGCCACGGGAATGGGACACAGACAAGCACAAACAGCATTCCAAAGCCCTCTGTTGTGAGGGATTTGGAGAACCTCCCGCTCAAACTTGATGCTTTTCTTCGCACCGCAGAAGTGTCACACATGGTGGACACCCGAATGGAAGTTGCAAAATGAAGAAATTGCCTTCCACTGCCGTCAGTGCAGCGTTGCGGGACATCCGATTAGGAAGAAGAAGGCAGGCAGGCAGGGAGGCAGGCAGTTGGTGGGGCGATTGGGCTTTGGCTTGCCTCGGGGTCAGCCAAATTGTGCAAGGGTAAGGAAAATGCTAAAGTGATTGCCAGTCATACAGGTGGTTACATCAATCTAGCATTACAGTCACCACTGGGATCTTTGAAGGCTACAAACTTCCCATTGAGTCATTGACTTTACTAAAAACGTCTGATGAAGCTCTGAGACATTGCATTCCTTTCGAAGCCAGAAGTAGTCACAGCAAAACAGGAGAAGACATACCACTGACACATAGGAAGGGATGAGACCACTGCCACGCCTCATAGAGTGGAGAGGCTAAAGTAGTCGTTCAGTCAATTATGCGGTTAAACTATCAGCCCGAATATTACAACATGGTGGGTTTGCAACTTTTTGCATTACTCTACAAATGACAGCTTTAATTTTAAGCTTTGTCATCAAGAAGTCTTTTAAACCGCAAAATGGCTTAACGTAACAGTGGATCAGGAGCAGGGGTTCCTGGTCAGCATCACGGTGGAAATTAGGAAATGTGAATCAACAAAGATCAGTGGAATGAAATGACCAATCTCAAGAGGGCCTTACGACTGAAGCAGATTTCATGGTATGTACATGCAGCATTGATCTGCGAAACTAAACATTAGCACTTAGATACTCATTTACCAACGGATTTGCAAAAACTCATGTTTTTTCCTGTAACTTAATCCTCCCCCCTCTCCACACCCTCCATCTCGGTCTTCGTAAGATGACGACAGTTGATTATGCATCCCTAGAGAGGCACAAACAGAGAAAGAAATAAGTACGGTAAAGAAGTGCCCAAGCTGGTCCAATGACAGATTCGCGCTCTCCACATGCGCAAGAGTGGCGGTGGAGACTTTTTGCTCCTTCCCTGCAAAGCCCAATTTGAACGACCAATGCGTATTACATTTGCGGTTCTCTTAACAATACGTGTTTCATAAAGAAACATTCCGCTAGCCAAAAAGGGGAAAGTTGCTTATAATTAATCTCGCAGCAAGCGAAAAATTTATGAAATAAATTAACAGTTTTTTGGCAATTTTTTTTTACCTTTTACTCACCCCCTCCCCTATGATACCCATAAAACGCCGTTTTGGCAAAACATTCTTCGAAAGTTTAGATTTTGACAACCAATTTGGAGGTCGAGAAGGCCTGTTGGGAGATATCGAGACGTCTAATCAACTTTCACATTAAAGTGAGTTTTCTGTAAGATGTAAAAACTTAAGTGTTGAAACAATTACGCGTTAAAAGTTACATTATTTGGGGTTAAGAGACTGTTCTAACAATCCATAATATCGTAAAATCACTGCGACCGAAAAAAATCTGCGGGCCGCTTGCCACAAGGCCAATACAAGAAGGAATTCAAAAACGTAAAGAGAATGAGACGAATCAGCTCTCTTCTTTCCGTGCAGCAGATTACCGGAAGCGGAGAGACTTGAAGAAGTAGACAAGGAGGGATTGTGCTTACTATCAGTAGTAGGATAGTGCAAAACATAAATAAGTGTAAATGCTTGACAGCTATTTGCCATACTATTGCATGATAATTTGTTGCAGTCACATTTCTCATGCATATTTTCTGTACAAAACGGTGGTCATGCAAAAGCATTATAAAAAAAGGAGGATGCAGCGTCTCAGAACTCCTCATTCGGTAACACAAGGCATAAAGCTTGGCTGACTACTTGCGTTCGGAGAGAAGGGGACAGTAGGACGAGGTTGCCGCCAAAGTGACCGTCATTCATACAGTCAATCAGATAAACAGTGTTGTTAACCTCTCCTCCAGCACACCAGCAACCACAACATATTTGATGTTAGAGGAAAAACTCACAAGTCACTCGGTCCAGTCATTGGCTCCTGTAAGTGTGAGGAAAGTGAAGTTGACTCGCTCGTCAAATACATGTTGAATCGGAGGCAAGTTCAGATTCATGACATGGAAAACGGGATCGAACACAGTCCCGTTCACGATCGTATTGCTTCACTTGTTAGTTGATCGCCTGTGGATCAAGGGAATAGGATGGCAGCCAAACACAGACGTTGTTTTTGGCCTTCTGATATGGAGAAATTGGAAATTCTTCCACCTGAAATAAGTGCACCTCAAGCTCATCGGGAAATTTTGTTGTAAACGGTGAAACCCAATGTGTAAGTCGCAACAAAGTTGGGTCTACTTTTCACTGTCACTAGTGTAACGTCCTAAGACTTCCCATTTGGTAGTAGAAGGCAGTAGACACGGTCGAATTCATACATTTAGACAGATAATAAATGATGGAGAATTTATGCCGACTTGCTTAGCAGAAGAATGTTGACCGTTAAAGAGACCGCCGCTCACACAGACAGGTGAACAAACAAAGCATTACAAAGGACACTTATGATGCTTTGTAGTTCAGCTATTAACGTTATGGTAGACCCAAGCCCTCCAACCCCACTATGTGTCCACTCCTACTTTTAGAAAAAAATAGGAGGGCTGCACACCCAAATACGGCGCAAGAAGGTGATGTGAGGATTCCAAAACTAACAAAGAATCGTACAATCCCGTTTTTAGCATGTTTGAAAAATTGTAAGGGAGCAAATACCGTAATTGAGCTCCTACATTTTGACGAGCTCTCCTTATGCCCTTCGACAATTTTCATCACAACTTTGGCCGATCCCTTACTTCTGAATGAGGAGTGCCATATTGGATCTGGAAATCGTGTTGCAAGAGAGAAGCTGGAGGTACCGAACTACTGAGGGTTGTGTGTATTATATTTCCTTCTCCCAGCAAACAGAATCATAGGTCCGGTCGCCACATTTGATTTGATGTGTTTGTTGACGAAAATATTTTATCCATTTATTGAAAAACTATTTGAAGGATGTCACCTTAGCGTCGCTGCCATTTGACCTTAACAATAATGGCCTTCACAGGAGCCTGCCCTCTCCAAGACGCTTCATTCGGCGCAATAGTATCAGCTGTAAGTAATCGAGTGCAGGAGAAAGGTGAGGGATCTTTCCATTAGTAGGTATTTTCCGCCTCTGGCCCACAGGGTACGTCTAAGCAAACCCATATTCATTGCACATCAGCCCTCATTTTAGTAGATCCTCCCTTGTTTCAACGTTCTCTTTCGTCTGATGGCATCGCTCTAGCGTCTGAAAAGACATGCTGGGCTCGGTCATCCTCCGGCGGTGACCACCACATGTTAATCTGGGCTTTGATGAATAAAATGATGAGCTACAGTGAACCATTGGGACTATGTTCGTTACGGATGCGGGGTAAAGTCGTAGCAGATTTTGACCTCAGTGCGCAACGTGTATTTGATGGCGATCCACCCAGGATTGTTATAATTTTACCTGCTCGCCTCTTTAAAGTGTTTCCACCAATGATGAAGAGAGTAATTGACGTTGTACAATGTGTAATTACAAAACGTTTTCACCTTCTTGCTTTTTATGTGCATTCTTTTCGCCTTTTGTGCTTGATTTGTTGGTGTTCCATATTTCCTCCGCCTATTAGACAATGTTGAGAAATGCTGCATTTGTTGGTCCCTGCACTGCCCAATCCTAGCTTTCTGGGTTTCGAAAAACTCTAATGAAAGAGATTTATGGCCTAAAAATTGATGAAACTAAAATTTTCTAGATCTGCACGTGGCATTGCTCGTGTCTTGGTGAAGTTTTGAGTCTCCGCCTCTTATACTTCACAAACTCCATAAACTTACAAGTTGGAATGGAGGTGTGTTACTAGTGAGATGGTTCTGAAAAGAAGCCATGTATTTGAAGTTAGGTAGACATGCCTTTGAAATTCGTGTTATTAATTGCACGCCTATGGGGTGCGATCCAGTCACCACCTAAGAGTGCCGTATAAATGCCTGCGCTCGGAATACCCAAGTCTTATTTGGAAGCACGAATGATAGAAGAAACCGCCAGAACTTCATGTGACTTCAATCAATACACCCTCGGTGGTAGCACTCCACCTAGCCATCAACAATAGATCTCAACTTCTCATGAGACTAGTTGACAATATCTGGCATTATGTCCTCTTGGGTTTCTGTACTGCCGGTACCATAATTCTTCTTTTAGCAGACAGGCTCGAGAAGAGTGGCCTCTTTGGTAGCAAAAATGATGTTATTGATGAGGCTTGTGAGGGCGGACGTCGCTGGATCACCTACAACATTGTTACAGTCGCCCTGGCGACATCGTGTGCGTTCTCACCCAGTATCATCTCTGAAACCATCTACCTCAGCAGCATTAATTCCCTCTGTTTATTTGCTGCGAGAACAGTCAGCCTGCTTCTGTGCATCTGGGTATGGCACAAGATTTCTCAGCTGGGCCTAAACAATATGATTGCTTTCATGGCCTTTCGCTTTAACAACAAGTTAGCTTTGCTTCTATACCATGTAAACTCCATCTTTGGCTTTACCTACATCCTATTTATCTACAACGGTCCGCTACTTTATAGCCAGCTAGAATATTTCAAACTGAATGCGGACGGGTTTCTACTCTTCATCGGTTTTACACTGTTGTGCAGTTTCGGCGGCATGAGAGTCGCTTTGCCATTGTGCTCTATTCTCACTGTAATGGAGATCAGCGGGGGAATCATACTCCTTACAAGAACTACAAGATTCAATGAGACTACGAGAGAGATTGAACGCAGCTGCTGCAACAGCCATAATCCCCTACACTTATTTGGCACAGTCTTCCCTCTTCTCCTGACGGTACAGCCCCTGTACCAACTTTATTACCGCATTGGTTCTCAGCGGAGAGCAATAACAGCCATGCTCATGGGGTATTGCACTTTTTCGCTAAAGTTCCTCCTCGCCTTCTTTGCGGCACGAAACATTCAAACACACAGGAAAGGCCTGGACATCCCGATCAGTAAGGATTTTCATGCGAACTTCCTCAACACCAGAGAATACAACATAAATCTACAGAGCGAGGGCATCCCTCAAAACGGAACCTCAGACCGTCCAATCCGATGCAGCACTCGTGGTGAGCTAGGAAATTTTATGCTCAATTGCCTCGTCTATGGTCCCATGGCCGCGTTCTACAGTCTGCGACTATGCCAACTCGTAGGAGAACTGAGTGAAAAATTCACCTCGCGCATCCAGTCAACTAAGCTAACAGGAGAGGAGATACAGCATGCCTATTGCTCTCTCTATAGTCTCGTGACTTGTTTCGTATTTGCGAGCCTGCTCAATGCAGATAGAAACATCCTGATGCCTGAGTACCGCCATACCTCCCTATATGTTCCGCATACTACAAACTTCTTTATGCTGGGCGTCACAACGATGGTTGTGTTCGGAGCAGTGGTACCCCACGTGCAACTCATTCATATACTATCGGCATGGATTCTAACTACCATAATTACCGCCGTACCGATGTGCACGATCCTCTGGAGTGGGTACAGTGCTACGCTAAATGAGGCGCTGGTTGATTGGGAGACACACTTTGACGATATCTGGCTATGTTTGGGGGTCTGGACTAACTCCGGATCTTTTCTTATCAATACCTTTATTGTTACACTACTAGCGTGCCTTTACAAGAGAAGAGGAATAATTTCACGGAAAACATTTACCAGCCCCAAAGTGCCAACCAGCCTCCTCCAAGCCTTTAACAAACCAACCACTCACACAAAACAACTCAATATTTAACCAGAGGCAAACAGAGAGTATAGGATTGACAATATTATGCTCAGCACCGATAGGAGATAAGCACAGCAAATTATACACATTCGAGCCTCTGTAGAAGCACAATAAAAGTCGTGTAAAAGCGCCCTTTCCCCCTTCGTCAGCAGACGATCCCCTAATTAAATGACCACGGTAACTTTCCATAAAAGCATATAACGCAGAATCGAAACATCGGACTAGCCCCAAAAGGCTATCATTAGTATTCCTTCGATAGAGGTTCAAACATGAAAATATACACAGACAGAAAACATTCACCGCCGGGAACCGCGACTTTTTGGTGATCTTGACCTACGGTGGCCTCCAGAACGAGATCGGGACCTTCGGCGCCTAGAGCTTCCACCATAACGGCGTTTGCTACGGTTGTAGAGCTTGCGACATAGTTCACGAGATATTGGCTTCAAATGCATAAAGTTGCAGAAACCACCACGTGTGCATTCCCTAAGAATGAGGCAAAACAACGAGAAACAAAAACTGAAAATCCATCGATACTTCATATACGAGCCATGCATGCTAATATTCGTTCAATAGCTTTTTCGTTAGACAAAATACCTGTGGAACAAGTAACAGCTAAATGCGCATAACCAAAATAAGCTCCTAAATAACTTCAAGTGACGCATAGTCTGCCGATTAACTATTGAGGTGAATTAAATACGGGAAGGAAATAGAAGAGAAACGCACGACGCACCCCAACTCATACTGTCGGCAACAAGCTTCGCGAAAATCAGTCACAGGTGACAGTTCTGCATGCACAGGTCTTCCACCAAACCAACGTTGGTTCAACATTTTAACAGCTTTCTCAGCGTCTTCCTCTCTCCGAAACTTATAAAATTATGCCACTAAAAGACAGCCAACCTTGATATATACATTCCCAACTAAATGATCACCCAAATTATCACAAACGTTCATTTCTTCAATTTCGCCGTATTTTGACTCACATTCCACAAAAACCTCCTCAAAGAATTCGTCGAAAATTTCCTGAGCTTGAACTTCAGTCATATTTGCGACATTCTAAGGGTACTAGTAAAAACAACAAGACTTGCTTGATTGGCATTGTTGTGTGGAGCGATGTATAAATTTTGAAGTAGGATGGTCTATACAAGCTTAAGCAAAACAGAAATATTTACCTGACTGAACGTGGGTTTATTGTGCAATCGTGAGCATTGCTCTCCATGTCGGCATGCACCAATCTTGAAATAAAAGGAACAGTTAACCCTAAAAGTCTTATGACAAACAGAGATTACTTGTCCTTCTCTGTTCCAAAAATCGACGCAAGATACTCGGCCATTATCCGACGCGCATTCGACTGAAGTCGCCGCACTAAAGTAACTCAGTGAAACAAACGTTAAAATCGTATCTTCAAATGGAACTCACGTTTAATGTATTACTTAAGCGTTGCTCATCGCATTATTAAATGTTTTGATAGTTTTATATTTAGATAACAGTCTACATTGCAGAGGCAAATGTCCTGAGATCTTCGCTAGAAAAATTCGATTTAGTATTTTATGCAAGTCTTTGAAGCAGACAAGAATTTAATAGCAGCAACTAAAAGATTTTTTAATAGCACAACTTTTTGGTAAAGAATGGACTTAGAGTTATAAATAACTCAAGCCAAGCATGCATTTTTTCCCGACTTTGAATATTAGAAACTTGCATCGAAGTCCGCAAAATTTATTTTACTATTGTATCATATGATATGCAGAAATGCTTTTTTAAGGTCATTTTAGGCGAGCCACCATTTGCTTGACTTGTTCGATGTGTGGACCAATGACGGAATCCACCATTTCTCCGTTCTTAAACGCCATGAACGTGGGCATGGCGACGATCGAATAATCAGACGGAGCATCCTGCAAGAATCAAATTTATGTGTTTGGTAAAATTGCACTGATCCTACGTTTGCGAAATTAAGATAAAATTGTGCTGATGTAGGTTGACAAAGTGCTGGAACTTTAGCACGCGCTAGTATGCATTGATAAATCTATAAGTCGGGATTCTTTGTATGCATACCAATGCACTTCTAACTTTAGTTCAATGAAATATCTTCCTGTTTGCAAAGCTTTAGAAATTCACCCTCTATTACCAGCGAGGTCCACCTGGGAAGATTTCGACTTACTTGGTGACACCATGGCCACAAATGTGTCGTTAAATTCGTTAAGTTTGTGCACTCTGAACTGCACTGACCTCATAAATATCGATGTCAAGCTTTGCGAACTTGACATCAGTTTCTTGTTCAGCGAGTTTCTCGTAGGCTACTTTCACTGATTTGCAGGGACCACACCATGTTGCGAAGAAATCGACAATCACCAAGCTCTTGTGGCTCATTTCCTTTAGGCTTTCCATGTCATTCTAAGTGCAAGATTTAACGGGTAGCTTAAGCCACACTCTGAGAAGACGATAATAAAATGAATATTTTAGCACAGATGACTTGATGATAGCAAGACATTGTTGCTAAGTCCATAATTGCATAAGCTGTTTGGTAGTACGTACTAACAAGCCTTCTCATGCCTTTTGAAAGTCTTTACTGTCTTTCGAAAAAGAACTAATTACAACTACTTTACTAGACATTGGGAGAAAGTTATTCAATAGCATGCAAAAACTTAGTTTAACGTGTAAAAATGCACTCACTGATAAGTTAGCTAAGTTGCTTTTGATAGAATTGCTATCAAAACTATTTATAAACATAAATTAAGGTCTTAAATTCCTCGAAATCACTAGATAAAAAAGGCGAAGTTGGTATACTCGTAGCATATTTTACCCATTTTGAGTGACATCAAAACGCTAAGATACATAATAGAAAAGCAAGATTAAAAAATTTGATAGCCAAATCTAGTATTGGGTCGCATTTGAGTCCCACTTACTTCATCGTTTATTTCCATGATTAGAGGTGGTGCCTCAGCTTCCTTTGCCTCCACCTCGTTTTCCATTGCAGTGTGAAATGAAGGTATATCTAATTCGACTTGCTTCCCCTGTGTATTAGCGTCAACGCCCTGCAACTAAAACATTGGACGAGTAACGGAGCCTGTCATAGAAATGAAGTAGGAGATTAAAGGCTGGACTCACGCTTCGGGTATTTTATTTCAAGGTGTGGTAAAGTTAAGCCCTCATGCCTTATCAACCGCGTGTTTATAGGCAACGTGCGATTTTGCCCTGGATATTGGGAGCGGGCGTGGGAGTTTTTTTTCATAAAGCATGCTTTACTGTAAATCCATTAAACTACTTAAACCTATTAATTAAAGTGGGTGAGATTGCTGGACTGTGTGTGCTGCGAGCAAATGCAAGTCGGTACATAAACATGAATTTGTTGTGTCACTATGTGTTGCAGGAAACCATATTGTCAGACCTCTCCTCGAAGGTTAGATTATATGTATTAAAAAATCATAAGCTTGCGCAATGAGCCAGATTGTGATTAAAGTCCAGTCTGTAGCTTGAAATTGTTACATCTCTTTGATGAAGTGGACTGTGTGTGCCGTTTGATGAAATGATTTGAGAGGAAATTGATCAAAATGAACAACTGGTGGATTTGATAAATATAATGTAATTCCTATTTGGGATTAAAATCTTCCTTACGGGTATTTAATGCGAACCTTGAGTCGAAGGGGCTTGCAGGCTCTTTCCAGAACATCGTGGACAACCCCACACAATGTTCCCTTTTAGACTGCATCTTGCTGAAGTGCCATTAAGCTTCTTCAAGACAATGCTTCAATAATGAAGGCGGAAGTAAAGACCCAGGGATATACGGAGGAAAACTCTACAGGCAGAACCGCAAATATTGTTATTGAATCGACTCATACTTATAGACGACTAGAATCCCTTAGAAATCCAACTTTTATAGATGAAGCAATTAATATACCGTTTTTAAATGAACCGATGATTGGAAAAGTGCTTAATTTGAAACACGAGTATGTAGCTCAGATTGGTTGCTTAAGGCGTTTCTTGTACGCAAGGGGTGGGATTTAGGTCCAAAGACCGTGATTAAGGAAACAACAGACCCAATCTCTGCATCGTCAAAGGCACCAACCCCTCTTTCATATTTTTGCATTACTCTTTGCATTCTCTACTCAGATGCGTAGTAGTCCATTTAGTAAGGATCCTCCCGAGGGAACGGTAAGGAGGGATTCAAACGAGAGTTATGGGGAAGAGATTGCCTTGTTCATTCGACTACATGTATGACTGGCGGTCACTTTGGTGTTACTCTTGCTCTTGATGAGTGCACTGACTCCCGAACCAAGCCAAAACTCCACATCTTCACCTTATATCTAAGGTGTATTTCAGCCGTGCTTGATATTTTCTTGTATTAAATAATGTACCGCGGCGCTGCACCGGTAGCAGCGTAGTCAAGATGTCTGGAGTCGGTTTGGGAAACACGGCTCTAGGGGGCGTGGGTTCGAATTACACCGCTGCCACTGATATGACATTTCCTTGTGTCCAGTCATAGTGCTCCTCAATGGGTCCCTTGAAAATTTGTTCGCTTTAAGGGCTTTATTAGGCATTCTGCGAATTACGAACGTGGGTATGTAGACAGAAGTGGATGAGGAAAAGTACACGGTGGTCCAGAGATGTCCTTCAATAGCTCTTCAAGCAGGATGTAGGAATTACCCCTGACTCGCATCTGCAGGGGCTGTTTTAAACAACTCTTTTTATGCCAAAATGGTCACAGGATAAATGTAAATGATGATAAAACTGACGCGCTTCATCGTTTAGAACTTATCAGTACCGAAGGAAATGATTGCATTTGCCTCCTTCCATTTTTCCAAAGGATAAGTTGAGGATGACTAGTTATTGCCGCTCAGATGATTTGTAACCATCATTCCTCATCTCCGGTTGGCTAAGACTTATGCTCCAAAAGGAAGCTCATTAAAACAATTCGAAATGGGAAACTGTAATAGACACTAGAGTGTTTACTTTGACATTTATTGGGGAGAGGGGGAACCGAATTGGAGCGCGAATCCGGTGCGTGAGGACCGTGAGGAATCTCTTCGGGTGACATCCACTATTCGGCTCATCTGTACTTCCATTCCTGTTCTTCCTATAATCAATGCCTGATAAATCTACTGCAACTAACACTCTCTTGAAGTCCGTGGTTCAGGAGCATGAGGCTAGGCGGGCAGTCCCTACACTGGTGGAAGCGCCGGTCGATATTCCTACCTCTAAAGAAGGCACAGATTTTGATAACTGACTCTGTTTTACAAAGGCAGAGCTCAATCTCTACGGTCCCGCCAGGAGAGTGCCATTGCCACTCCGCGCCTTGCTCTACGACCTACGTCGCGAAGCACTGGTTGCGAGTATCCCGCTTTCCTCGGATATAGAAGAGAGCTGTGAGGTTCTCGTAAAAGTGACGTCCCTCCAGAAGGCAGAGTTCTTAGCTTCAGACTTTTCCACCGATTACAAAAACCTAGAGATAGTGATAAAGACTTCTAGGAAGTCTCTAGTTATTAGCCAAACAGGCATTTAAAGATTGTTGTCCTTTGCGGGTTGCCTCATGGATAGCGGTTCAGTTTAAAAGGAGTGGGCGCACACCCGTCTTGGCATAACAGCTGCTGCAGATGAGAACCAGCAGATTGAGCCATCTTGTTGAAGTGGCAGTCACCAAGCTCCATGACCTTCAATTCTACTAAAAGACGGCCAACTACTTGCGGGCAAAGGCGTGTGCTCCGAAGAGGTCTCTCAATACAAAAGAGGACAGGATTTTCTTTGTCGTGTCTGCCTTCCTCATAATCTCCTACTTTTATGCGTATACGGAGCAGGATAGAAGGCCACACATGCTCTTTCCTTCTGGACTCTGGGCAGTCCGTTCCTCACCAAACCTACAAGCCTTCTCCATGGTTTGCAGCAAGGTTAATATTACCCCACCGGCTACCATACTACGCTCTGCAGAAGGAAAAAAACCGATAATAGGAGAAGCACCTATCAGAGTCTCAAATGGGAAAGATAGTTGGGAGGCGAATTTTTGCTGCGTCCAGAACTTGCCTGGGACGTACTGCT